TTAAGAAGTTTGTTTTGACGATCAGTAAAAAGATGGAACTTTAATTTCTTATCATTTATTTATATGTATTTAAAGAGTATAAATATAAATTTTTAGTCAAATTATCCATGGAACGTGAGTTATAGCGCTCTGAACACACTCGCCTCCTAAGAATGGATGCTAACTTCCTCCACGATTCCAGCTGATTGGCTTATCTGAAATTTAAAAAAAAAAAAAGTTAACGGCGTTTTAATTTATAAGCTTAAATGCATCGAATGAGCTATACTCAATTGAAAATATCAAAAACTGGATTTTTGGTAGACCTCTGAAGAAAAAGTTTCGAATTTCATGGGTTTTTTCGTTATGTTTTTGTTATAAAAAAAAAAATATTTTGGATTTTGGAATGATCGAATGTCACTTGGTGTTTATATTTATGTTGAGTCTACCCTGTAAATTTGAAGTCATTCCGTCAAACAGTTCTGAGATAGGAAGAAGGAAAGTGTGAAAATTACAGTTTTGAGAAAAACGCGTTTTAAAGTTTCAAGTCCGAATAAAACATTGAAAATCTTAACCTAACGCTGCGAACAGTTGCTCTTCTACCACCCACTTCTTTATAACGACTTTGAATTTTAAAAAATCACTTTATTACCGTATTCTAGACATATTAAGAAAGAAATTTATGAAAAAAAAATTGATTTTTTTTAAATCCATTACATGGGTAAACCCTCTTAAAACGGTTTCTGTGGTAAGTACAGAAATTAATAAAACAGCAATAGACATTTATAAAAAATATGTACATTATAGTAGAATGATTAAATGTATTTTGTTTTATTTATTTTTCACCCTCTGAGAGATACAAAAAGCCTCTCTGCTCCGCAGAACGGATTAGGCAATTCCTATTCACTTGCAGATAAGTAGTAATTATTAAATTCAGAAATAACTAATTTTTAATTTTTTTTTTTTTTTGAAAGATTTAATTCAAGATATTTAAGATGTTTTGGTTAATTTGCATTTCATGTGTAGGTATGTTCATGATTTTTTCCAATACTACATGAATACATTCGGTTTGTTATTATTTTGCTTTTTGTGTGAATATTTTTCTACAATACCATAGACCATTTATTTTTTGCATGATGACAACATGTTTTAATTTTTAAAGATTTGTAGAATTCTACCTATTCTTTCATTCACTAGCTGGCAAATGTTTGCAGTACAAAGTTACTTACACATTTTGAATGCTTTCTGCTCAAAATGAAGTTGTTCTTGAGTAAAGAATTGCTAAATCAATTTTTAGTTCTTTGTCGACTAAAATCTTTTGTCTTACTGTTCCTGTATCAGTTTGAAGGAAACATTTTCGTTTTACTGGAATCATACATTTTGATGAGTTAGGAATCATCTTTACCGAGTAGAATTTAACTCATACACAAAATGCTCTAGCTCTGTGAGGAACGGCGCTTTCTATTTTTGTTAAATTTCATTTTGGTTTCTTAAACTTTCAAGGGATATTATCACATACTTTTAATCAGGATACAGGACATCTTTTTAACTTCCCAGCCCTAGGCACTGCAAATTATTTTTCGCCCAACACTACTAAGCATAGTCATTTCCTTATTAAAATGAAAGATATTTTACAGTGCATATTGGTGGTGGTGGTGGGACTATTCCCCATCTGGTCTAGTGAAACTAGACCAGGTCCATGCGTCCATAAATCTGTACAAAGTATAAAAACAGAAAGGGGGATGCAACAGCCTCCTCGCAAGAAAACCCCAGACATTGCAGAATGTGCTGAGGAGAAAAAGGACTGATGTTACAATTGGGGCAAATTGGGAAGCTTCTTTTGCCACCCTCAAAGTTCATGCATTTCAGGTGACCAGTCGAAAATCGTGAAAATGCCGTTTGATATGAACTGGAACCCTTGAATGATGTGGCGGATTCGGGGTGTCTTTGAAAGTACCATGGGTGTACAGGAAGGACTACTCAGGTTCTACATATTAATTCTTTAGCCCTGGAGTAGATCTCAGTCGATGTAAGGACCATGTGGTCTTCTGGATCCACAGGATTGTTGGTAGCCGCTTTCACAAGGTCGTCCGCAACTTTGTTCTCGAGAAAGCCTACATGAGAAGGGACCCACTGTAGATGAATAGGGTGCCGATCCAAAAGCTGTTGGAAAAGGTGATGAATACTCCTAAAGATGCTGTCGCCGATAGATGGCCACACTTTACACCTTATGAACCTTACAGTGCATACTTATTTGAGTAACAGAAATACGGATGATCTTTTTGGTGCTGCTAATCGTGTAGATGTAGAGATGCTATCAAAAAGCAATACCTCATTTACCAAAAAATGTTTATGAAGTAATTTTCAAATCATTTGGAAATGAAACAGTGCAGCAAATTTTGAAACCAATGGGAAAAGACAAGACGTCTTCAATATGCAAATATTATACCACCAAAATCTATTTTATAGTAAGATATGCACTAAAATATTAATAGTAATAGCAAGTGCCACTCTTCTATATTAATTAAATAGATATATAACTTGAAATGCACAACATATTTCACTAATTGAATTATAAAAAAAACTCCAAACTGGCTTTGAAAAGAAAATTATTGCAGCTTGAAGTTTCTCCAAAAAAATTAATGTGCTCAAAAATTTATTCTAAGCATGTAAATTTAATGGTAATTAAACTTTAAAATCACTACTAATGTTATTCACATACTTATGCATGTTTTTTTTTTTCTTAAAGTTAATTTTTTTGATATGACAACAAATTTAATGCTCCCAAAGCTCTTCGTAATCATATTGCATTTTATGGACAACATTATTTTCATAACTGTATTTTGGAGCTTTAAGTAAGCAAGTTTGATATCAGAGTTTTCATAAATAAAATAATGAAAACATTAAAATTATTTAGCATGAATCAACAAATATATTTTTTTAAATGATAAATATTCGTGCTACATTAGTTTTATCTTAGAAGTATCTTTTAGTAGAAGTGATATTTTTAGTAAAACCATGAAATGAACATTTTTTAGGATAAAATTTGAATTTATTCGTTTCAAAATTAGTGCAAAAGGAGCTTATCTATACATATGAATAAAAATGAAAAGTGTCTGTTTGTAATTTGAAATTAACAGCTTTTAACTAAATGCATTTAAAAGTATATAAGGTACTAACAAGAAAAAATAAATTTTTAAAGTTTTCGTCTGTCTGTCTGTTTGTTCCAGCTAATCTCTAAAACGGCTGGACCAATTTTGCCGAAATTTTCAGTGGCTGAATAGCTAATGTTATAAGAAATAACTTAGGCTACTTTTATTATAGAAAAAATTAGGGTTCCGCGAAAATAAAATTAAACCAATGAAATGGTGAACAATATCCGTTTCAAATAGGGTTCATTTATTTCAATGGACAGTGTCAAAGGTCATGCATCCCTCTCACCCCTTACTTGCCTCGGCTTCCTTTCATCCGGTCCTCACCCCATCGATAGCGTCAAATATCACGCGTCCCTCTCCCGCCCTCCCCCGCTTGCAGACTCGTCTCACCCTACTGTTTTTTAGACCTGTTTTGAACTGACTATTGTATATAGAGAGATAGTTCAGTAAATTTAATATTGTATATAGAGATTGTTCAGTAAATTTAATATTGTATATAGAGAGATTGTTCAATAAATTCAATATTGTATATAGAGATTTAATATTAACGTATTACACATTACGGGCGTTATAAATTTAAAAAAAAATCTTTTTTATGAGCTGTTATATTTTCAGACTTAAAATTAAGCAAACATGGTTTTTTATTTAGCTGAGATATGCAAAAAGCTTCTTTTTGTTTAATTTACAACTCCCGTAAAATTAACTCATTAAAAACTTCTTTATCCTTCAGTCTGTATTGTTTAATTTTTCAATTCACCCGTGCGAAGAACTGGTATACTGGCTAGTGTATAATATTAATTAACATTTGAGAGTTTTTCCAGATTTTATCAGTGTGCATTTATTAAAAATACATCATTGGTGCTTCAATTTATTAAATAATGTATTTTTTGTAAGAATATTAGATAACTATTGATGTAATTTCTTTCTTTTTATATTTCAGTTTGGTGTAATTATCATTCGAAAAATTCTTACCACAAAAAAAATGAATATTGTATCACCCTTTTACAATTTCAACAAAATTATTTACTTAACATAAGCACTTAATCCTCTCTATTGGCGATTAACTACTTAGAAAAATTAAATAAAATTAGCTGTTGCAATTGAAATTAAGCTAATTACCCATTAAATAGAAATTTGCGTTTTTATTGACTGCACCTTAAGAAAAAATTATTTGTTAACTACTAGGTGCCAATGAGCTTTTGTTAATTCTTTCTAAAATAAATGGAAATTCTTTCAGATGTAATTGTTTTGATTAGAAATTTAAGAATATTTTCCATTCAATTCATTACTCATTTAAACAGCACCAGGGTATTAAGGAAGAAGAATATATTTTTATGTGGAATAAAGTATGGATCAAAATTGTTCAATTATTCATCAGTAAAATTTGAATTTATTGAGCGCTAAATACTTTCATCTATGGTACTCAAATTCACTGTGATGCTTGTTAACTACCATATTCACCGTTAACTGGAAAGACAATTAAAAAAAAAAAAAACATTCTTTTTGCAGTAAGTTCAGTTAGATAATTCTGACCGGGCACAAAAGTCGGTGTTCGATTTAACTGTGCTTGAGGCATTAAGCTCAGTCACGAGGTTTTGCCAATTTCTACTATTATTTCACAATTTCCCTACATATATATATTTATTTATATATATAAATATCTTATTCAAATTTTCAATTGTTAATAAAATAATTTTTATTCATTCTCTCAAGTTCAAATACATTTTTTAAACTTATAGTAGATGATACTTGATGTTGATACAGTTTTTTCAAATATTAATTCATTGATTCTATTTAATTAATGAATAAATAGTAACAAACAAAAATAATAGTCCAACTCCCTATATAAAACGGAAAATAGCTCGTTGTGTCCCTGCAGCGAAGTGAATAGTGCGTTGGACTTCTAATCCAAAGGTAGTGAGTGGGTTTGAATTCCACCTGGGATGGCCTAATTTCTGAGAATGTGATTTCTTTTTAATATATACTATTTTATTGGAATAATTAAAATTTATTAATGAATAAATTGTAACAACAAAATAATGATCCAATACCCTATATAGAAAGAAAAATAGAAAACTGCAAGAAAAATCGCTGTCTATTTTGTCATTTAATATTATGATTCTGTCATATGTATGTACACATTTATATTAATTGTAATTATGTAATAAAAAGTAACTAAAATGAAATTTTCGATGTTGACCTAAATACGAATTGATTTCTTTCTTTCTTTTTTTTTTTTTTTTCTTTTTTTCAAATTACTTGTTTGATCCATGAGGTTGCCAACTCGTGGGCGAATAACCGGAGTTAAAGAAAAATCATAGTGAAATGAAATGAAACCGACGGTTACATAAATCCAGGTTTCATAGATAGATTCATTTAGTAGTGAATACGGTGGTTACACAGTCATCAAAAATCATAACTTTAACCCCCTTAACTACCGGTTAAAAGTTGCGTGATTCGCTCTCCAGTGCCATCGTTTTTCACATAGACACACAAAGGCATAAATAAGCAAATATTTTTATGTAAATCCTTCGTAAACACTGTCAAAGTCATTTTATTGCTTTCTAAAGCCTTTGAAATAACTTTACCAATAGCAGCGCAAAGAAAGGAATCGTATTTTGGAAATACGTATATATACGTTTGGAGATTTGAATGCACTGGTTAAGCAAGACGTATATATACGTCGGTGGCAAATAAAAGTTTAAAATTTGATCAGATGACATAATCATTATTTAAGTTCTTACCATTATTTTCTACATACAGAATAGAACAATTTGAAAAGTTCTGATAAAACAATTTACGACTTTTAAGTGTTTATGATGTATTGGTTTATCATTTTTTTTAATAAGTGAAGAGTTTTGAATTCTGTGCTCATCAATAATGAATTTGACTCAACCAATAAGGTAACAAAGGCCACGCGATCGTTGCATTTTCATGAACACTGTCTTTGAGTCTTAACGTATTAAAAAAACATTACTGAAACAAAACACATTTGCACACGACAAATTTCTTCAATATTAACATTGTATTGTGTGTATTTTATTCTGTTCTTGAGTTGCATTTGAAGTAAAAAAATTATTTCTTATAAACATTTTTTTTTCAATTTTTTACTTCTAATTCGACAATTCTGAGTGGAAATTTGTACTTTACTTATCAAAGTTTGAAATTTAGTATTTAAGGAATATTTCTAAAATTTGAAGAAATTAAAAGACACGGTATAATAAAAATGAATATAAATAAATATAACCATTTGAATATTAAGATATTTACCAACATAAAAAATTTTAAATTTGGATTTAGATTTTCCGCATTTTTTGTAGAAAGACCTAAAAGTATACGTAAACAAATATGGCATAGAAGGTCCTAAACAATTAAGAGATTATATTTTCTAAATTGAAATCATGAAATAAGGTTTCCTATTAAAGAAAGTTTAATTTACTTTAAGTATCTATAAGGTTTTATAATCTTAAAATTTAAAATTATACCCAATAAAATTGACAGCTTATCTTATCTAATTAGGAATAGCAATGTAATACCAAAACATACATGCCATGACATATAATTTTTTTGCAGCCATACTGATTTTATTAAAGGGAAGAACTTGATACTGTACGTGAAGATCTTTAACACCAAAGAGGTCGCAGGGGTACAGAGTCACCTCAGGCACACGAAATTTTAAATTCTGGAAAAGGCGTTTATTTGTTACTAACGGCATTGTCTTTATCCTACTGTATAACAGTCTTCGAGGGAACTAACATGTATTTGTCACATATCCACTCTTTTTTTGGATTGGCAAACGTTTTTTTTACAATCTTAAGGTACTTGAGAGGACTGAGTTACCCTCGCAAACACTTTTGTTCTAAAATATTTTCTATGAACAGAATGCATCCTTCTCCTGGGAACGGCTTAGTGGTCCATCATATTTTAAAAACTTGAACTTTTGAAGTATCTTTCAAAGTGTTTTAAAATAAATATCCCAGCCTTGCAATTGTACAGTAAAAAATACATTTTCATTCTTTTTTTTTATCAATTTATTTAAAGTTATAATATGATAACATTTTACATTAACCATATATACTTTGAAGAAATATTGTGGAATATTTTGAAAACACAGATTTTCCAAAATTTATATGCACCACATTATTCTTATCTGCTAATAATTCTAAAACTATTAAATATATCTATAAATATATTGAGTATGCAATCATTATTTTGGAATATATTTTTTGATATCAGTGTTATGAATCCGGTATATCCATTATTATTTCTAGAAACTAATAAAGGATGATTAATAAAAGAATTAGAAAATGATGAATTAATAAAATGATAGAAACTTGGTAAGTATTTATGAAAAAAAATTTAGAGTTAATCTAAACGATCACTATAATTGCTTATGTGCATATAAACTACACAACACTAATGTTTTTTGTCTAAAGTTTTATTGCAATAGTATGTTGATAAAGAGAGATGTAATGCGCGTAGTTGGGATGGCGATTCTTTCCGAAAAACATCGATTTTTAAACAAATTCGAATCGCAACCTGATGAATCGATTCACAAAAAAATCGTGGTCTAAAAGATCGATTTCCAAAAAAAAAAATTTTTTTTAAAGTCTAGATTTACAATGTAAATATAAATCCATTTTATGAAAAACAAGAAAGATACCATAATATATAAGCAATCTCTTATCATTAAAATCAGGGAATTCTTTAGTTCTGGGAATTCGACAATTGCAATTATTTTTATTACCATATCTAAGAACGAGGCATAAAAGAAGACATTTATTTTCTATGTATATTTGTTACATTAAAAAGTTTAGAAAATAGATAATACAGTTTATAGTTGCCAATGCTTGATATCTACGCTTTTTAAAAAGAGTCTGTCAAGTCGTCTGGGATCCAAACGGCTCCACTCATCACTTGCGATGTTCCCGGCAATCGAAAAAAGGCGCTCACAAGGAACAGATGATCCCACAATACTCATATACATCATGGCTATTGAGTAAACGTGATGATAAATACAGTATTTTTGTTCTTGCCAGTAAATTAATCATTTAACCACCAATATTGTAATATTACGGGTTTTAAAGATAGTACATTCAACTAATTGTAAATAATTTTATGGTTTTTACTAAAACAGAAAAAATCGAATGTCAATTTTCTTGGATGAAATATTGATTCACTGAATCGATTCAGTGCTACATATCGATTAAAAAAACAACATTTTTTTGGCCCGAAATATCGATTATTCGATTAATTGATCTCAGATAACCATCCCTAATGCGAAGATGGAGAAGAAAGTATGCGTGTAGAACTTGGCACTCATGGGCTTTGAAATGTATGAAAGTGGTGAAATGCATCGGGTTTTAGAAATGCATGAATAGATAATAATTACCCATAAGTTAATAAATTTAAATTAACAATTAAAAGTATTTTATAGAATAACATTAAAACTAAAAATAATTAGGTTAATATTATAAATTTCAACTAAGCTGGGGAAAAATTGCATGCTTGACCATTGGGGAAGCAGATTATCGTGACCAGATTTGATAAGAGTCCTGGGATGTACTACTCCCATCTGGGGCGAATGGGAGCGTTCTCATTGGTTGTTGCGTTAAAGCAGCGTTTCTCAAACTACAGGAGGTCCCATTAGGAAGGGCGTGATAACCCTAAGTTGGGGACACGAGCATATTGAAAAGTGGAAAATAAAGGATTATTTTTAAAAGTTATTAATTTACTTAAACGAAGCAAAACAAAACACATTTTGAACTATGGAAGGTAACATAATATTTAGCCTATAACAAAAGTAACATATATACAATTTAATACTTATATTGTGCTAATTTGTACAGTTTATAATTTATATATATATAGTTCATATTGTAGCTTTAGTGTTAAAGTACATTATCATAGCATTTAATACATTGGAAATGATTGATGGGGGATGAGATAAAAATTCTATTTGAAAAGTGGGTTGCCATTATTGAAAGTTTGAAAAATACTGCCTTAAAGTGGTAACCATGGTCTTGGAGCGTATATCGTAGCAGTGTGGGCAAGGCGAAAACTCCTTTCTTCTGTAGAAATGTAATGTAAAGAATAAAAAAATTAATACGAACAAGTGTTTGTTTCCCTGAGAAACTTTATTATAAACTGTTTTTTTTTTCCATCATGGACAATAGAACGTATATAAAAATAAGTTGTGGGACTAGGGATTCATTCCCCATCGATGATTCTTCCTTTCGTTTTACATATGGGAATGCAAGCAGACCCAATGGCCCTGCACAGCGGTCCAAATCCACAACATTTGAAGTACTATATACAATAAAAATTTACACAGTAATCGAACAGTCAGTCTTGATTTAGTCTGAATAAGAGTCAGTGACAATGTGCGTCACTCCATGGAATTGTCTGCCAAATAACGTCAATATCAGCGTCCAGCACATTATCAAATGGTGTCCAACAGCTACAGTTTTTGACGATCCAGTAACAAATAGTGTTGTCCAACAATGATAAATGTTGATGAAGTATATAGCAACAATGGGTTGATAGTGGCAAACAGAATCTCATGTCCACCAATAAATAATCCGGGAGATCCAACAACAATGATTGTTGGTTCGCAGTATAAAGAAAAATTCGCATTTTTAAACTGTAACCGTCAAAAGAAATCTGATTGAGTTCATTGGTGATAACGGTTGTTATTTAATCCACTGATACATCCGTTGACAATATGATCACTAGAGTTCGACAATATTAATGTCCCAATGCATGGATGGGGGCAATAAGATGCGCCTAAATGTCCATCTAAATTCTTGACGGATTCGCAAAGACCATCAAGTCTTCAATGTTCAACTTTTAGTGATATATCCAGGCAAGATCTTTGACCCACAATTTTTTTTGTCTCCCAAATAACACTTTAGAAGAGTTGATGACATAATATCAGCAGCTTCAC